ATGGTAGAACTGCGAAGAGCTCGCATTTAACATTCCCCGTTTTACATGTTTGTATGTATGTATGTAATGCAATTTTCATACAAACCGCGCAGTAAAGCTTAGGAAACGCAAATACTTTGGACCTGCTTCCAAGGCGAGTGCCATCGCGTCCGGATAGTTTAGTTGAGGAACACGCTTTCTCTTACAGAGTTCGTAGATGCCATGCAACTGCGGAGATCAGTGAACTTGTGATTTCTTTAAACATAATTATTTCTAGTGTGTTCACTTACCAAAACATGCAGAGCGAATATCACAATTGAACCAACCACAATGGTGCTTATTAGGCCATTGAGCCAGCCAGCAGCTTGAAATGCCTTGGGCATAGCCAAGCAGCCAATGCCTATGGAGGCTTTCAGCAAGCTGATATATACCTCGAGATTGCTGCAAATTGTATAAAGGACACAAATATGAAACGTAGAATGAAGTTTTTCCACACAACGCACCTCAACGGATTTTCTATCACTCGATGCTGGTAAGGATCGTAGGCATCCCTTGAGCTGTGGAGGAAGAATCTCTATGTAGATCATTTGCTAGTAAAAAAAAATTCAAAATTACTTGGCGTTAATCATAGTCCGATAGATAAAAGGAAGACGCGTATAAAAGCTTGAAAAGTTTTCAAATTTTTATTTTAAATGACAATTTTTATTTTTGTGGCGAATTCATATTTCTAATAAATTTTGGGAAAAATGTACATATATCGACTTTCTATTTGTAGCGATTCAAAATTTCGAAGTCTTATATCACATTTACATTAGAAACAAATGCGTGATTTGAAATCAGTCATTTGAAGGCATTTACACCGCTTGATTCGCATTTCTTTTGCCTTCATCATTCATTATATTTTTTTAACACGTTTTGGACACAAAAGAGGCATTTATTCTTTGATTTAACTAAAACTCTTAGAATTTATGCGTAAGTTAACAATTTTTATACCCAAATATCAAAGATTTATTTATTTCGTTGAGTTTGTTTTGATTGGAAAAATTCCAAATGTCCAAAACAAACAAAAGCGTTTGAAGCAAGGCACATAAATACAGGTAGAAGCACGATAAAAACTATGAAATTGTTCGAAATTGTTGTTGCTTGAGATTGAAAACGAAAATGTGTGTGCGAGTTTGTGAGTTAATTTTAAAATTAAATTTCTTGGAAACGCCAAGAATTTTAAAAGTTTCTCTCAGCGGTTCTACCTTACTGTATACTTTATCATGGGTAGAAGCAAAATGTATTCAACAAAGTATGATTGAATTTGACATTTCTCTCAGAAGAACCATCCAAAAAGTCAAATTAAAAAAAAATATTTTATGAATTTTGAATCGCTTGGTAATATTTTTTGCCATAATAGTACCTTAAAAGAGAGCCTACTTGAGTTGTCAATCACACCTTGTTTAATACCCAAGTCATTTGGACGTTGCTCTCGTGAGAACCAAACTTTCAAACTTCAACTCGTTTTTTGGTTTTTCTCTCTCTCTCTCACTTATATGGTGATACGGATGGCGAGTACGGAAGAATGCTCTGTCGGTGGGTAATTGAACAATAATTGAACAATAAGCTATGCTTTTTTGCTTGTCTATTCACCAACTTTATTGAACTTTTACATTAGCGCTATTCATAGAACGTTGCAAGGTGGCACTCTTGGCGAAATGGCAACGTTGCGAACAAAGTTGCATGAATGACCTATCGCAACTCCGGATTGCAAAGATTATTTCGACGAATTCCTACAAAGTGATCATTGCCCTTGCCTAGGAAAGATGCACTTATTCGTAGCGTCTACTCTCATACGAACAGAGAATAATAATTAGTAGATCCAGCAAATATTTTAGAATGTAAACATTTTAGTGCTATCAGATCTATTTATATTATTCAAGTTATTCCTGGCGTAAAGA